GAATGACTCTAGAAGTCTATATAAATAAAAATGTAATGTTTGTTTGTGGGATTAACAGAACTCAAAAATCTACTGGACGAATTGATACCAAATTTGGACACAAGACACCTAACAACTCAATGTATGTCCTTCACTAAAAAAAATTGATTTTGTCATTTGGGAGTTGTAGTTGCTGGGATTTATAGTTCACCTACAATCAAAGTGCATTGTGAACCCCATCAACGATGGAATTGGGCCAAACTTGGCACACAGGTCTCCCATGACCAACAGAAGATACTGGAAGGGTTTGGTGAGCAGTGTCCTTTGGTTTTGGAGTTGTAGTTCACCTACATCCAGAGATCACTGGGGACTCAAGCAATGATGGATCTGGACCAAACTCTACATGAATACTCAATATACCCAAATGTGAACACTGGTGGAGTTTGGGGAAAATAGAATCTTGACATTTGCGAGTTGTACTTGCTGGGATTTATAGTTCACCTACAATCACAGAGCATTCTGAACCCCACCAACGATAGAATTGTGCCAAACCTCCCACACAGAACCCCCATGTGGGCCACAGCAACACGTGGCAGGGGACGGCTAGTTCATTTATATTATCAATGGGCCTTATTTGGCTTTTGGGGCCTTTGTCTTTACTAACAAAATAATACATTGTATATTGTATATACATATAATATTTATAATATTATAATGTAATGCAATATAATACTAGTAATAATAATACAATATTATAATTAAATTATATATTAACATTACATGTAAATAGTACTAATAATATTACAATATAATGGTATAGTGTAATATAGTAATATATAATACTGATATTGTACTATGCTAATAACATATATTGTATGAAAATATATCTTGTAAGCTGCTTTGAGTCCCCTTCGGGGTGAGAAGGGCGGCATAGAAATGCCACAAATAAATCATTGACTTCCTGGTATTAAGCAAGAAGTCATAATAAAGGATCTTTGTAGAGACATATAGCTCAAGAGTCTGTTTAGGGAAACGCACAGAATTTATTCTCTTTTTTCCATTAGTACTTGCTTAGTTTACTGCTTGTGTAGCAGTCATATAAGTTTAACCAAATAACAGGGTATAGCTTGGCAAGCATGTATAAAGGATGAAGCAGATGTCAACTCACTTGGTATGTCTTGCTGTATTAGTAAAACTGGGTTAACTTAACCACTTGTGAAGTTTTCAGTGTATATACAATACTAGCTGACCCTTTGGAACAAAGGTGCATTGCGTGGTTTTGCTGCTGAGCGTTTACCTGGGAATGCTGGATAAATCAGTGGTTGGCTCCTCTCAACATTCGCATGTCGAGGATTCCAAGTCGCCCAGTCTTCTGTGTGCCCAGGAGGGAGTCTCTCATTTGGTATCAGCCATTGGTTGAGGTTCTGGGTTTGAGCCTGCCACTTTTGGAATCTCGCTTGCTGAGGTGTTCCAGCGAGTGTCTCTGTAGATCTTAGAAAACTATTTCTAGATTTAAGTCGTTGACGTGCTGGCTGATACCCAAACAAGGGATGAGCTGGAGATGTCTCTGCCTTGGTCCTTTCACTATTGGCTGCTACTTCCTGGCGGATGTCAGGTGGTGCAATACCGGCTAGACAGTGTAATTTCTCCAGTGGTGTAGGGCGCAGACACCCCGTGATAATGCGGCATGTCTCATTAAGAGCCACATCCACTGTTTTAGCGTGGTGAGATGTGTTCCACACTGGGCATGCATACTCAGCAGCAGAGTAGCATAGCGCAAGGGCAGTTGTCTTCACTGTGTCTGGTTGTGATCCCCAGGTTGTGCTAGTCAGCTTTCGTATGATATTGTTTCTAGCGCCCACATTTTGCTTGATGTTCAGGCAGTGCTTCTTGTAGGTCAGAGCACGGTCCAGAGTGACTCCCAGGTATTTGGGTGCGCTGCAATGCTCCAGTGGGATTCCTTCCCAGGTGATCTTTAGAGCTCAGGATGCTTCTCTGTTCTTGAGATGAAAGGCACATGTCTGTGTTTTAGATGGGTTAGGGATCAGCTGGTTTTCCCTGTAATAGGCAGTAAAAGCACTTAGAGCTTTTGAGAGCTTTTATTCAACCATCTCAAAGCTCCCTGCTTGAGCCGTAATGGCACGATCATCAGCATAGATGAAGCTCTCTGTCCCTTCTTGAGATGAAAGGCACATGTCTGTGTTTTGGATGGGTTGGGAATCAGCTATTTCAAATTAAGGGTGGACTACCTGTGTCCCTATGACTGTCTTGGTTAGAATTCAGGCAGATGAGGAAGACAGTTTCCCTACTTCTCTGCCAATTGTACATCAGGCTGTATGAATAGGAATATTTGTATTTTAATGGCTGCTGCTACAATTTCATGGCCAGGCTTGCCCCACTGCATTGTTTATACAGGATCTGCCCATGTGTCCAGAAGGTCAGGGTGCGGCTGTTCATTCCTCCTTGTCACTGTTCCATAGAACTTGCCATGTAACATTTCTTTTCTGGAACAAAAAAAATAACCTTGATTCTTTGCTTGTGAGTGAATGCATCTGTTACTGGTGTTGCAAAATGTTCTAAAGCTTACATGGGATGGGTTGTACTTGTATATTCACTTTACTAAAACAAAAGTAGGAAACAGTGGGACAGAATGTGAAAATAAATGGCGTAATGATTCCCCCCCCCCCCCATAATGATACATTATACTTGAAAGGAAGACAGTTGATACCTTTCTCCCTTGATATGCCTTGAGGTTTGTTTTCTTCTCCCTTTAGTCCCTTTGTTAAATGTATTACTGTGGCTACTTGCCCATTCAATTGTCCTTGAGCATTTATTTATTTACTGTATTTGTATACCGCCTTTCTCAGCCTTTCGGCAACTCAAGGCAGTTTACAGGCAGCAAGTCAATACACACAATATCAACATGCACATAAAAACATTAAATACAATATGAATCCACAACAGAAACAGTAAGCAACACCCAGGAGGCAGGTGTTTTTTAAAGTCTCCTCCTCAGTCCCCTTTCTCCTCTTGGCTGGCTTGGGGGGGGGGGGTGCAGCAGGGCCCTTCTACTATATAAAACCACAACAGAAACAATAAGCAACAGCCAAGAGACAGGTGTTTTTAAAGTCTCCTCCTCAGTCCCCTTTCTCCTCTTAGCTGGCTTGGGGGGGGGGGTGGCAGCAAGACTTCCTCCTGAGGTGGCAGGCAGATGTAGTAAGCAACAGCCAGAAGACAGGTGTTTTTAAAGTCTCCTCCTCAGTCCCCTTTCTCCTCTTAGCTGGCTTGTGGGGGGGGGGGGGGATTTCCTCCTTTTCCTCCTGAGGTGGCAGGCAGATGTAGTAAGCAACAGCCAGGAGACAGGTGTTTTTAAAGTCTCTTCCTCAGTCCCCTTCCTCCTCTTAGCTGGCTTGTGGGGGGGGGGGGGCAGTCCTACTTCTCCTCCTGAGGTGGCAGGCAGATGTAGTAAGCAACAGCCAGGAGACAGGTGTTTTTAAAGTCTCTTCCTCAGTCCCCTTCCTCCTCTTAGCTGGCTTGGGAGGGGGGGAGTAGACAGCAAGACTTCCTTCTGAGGTGGCAAGCAGATGTAGTAAGCAACAACCAGGAGACAGGTGTTTTTAAAGTCTCTTCCTCAGTCCCCTTTCTCCTCTTAGGTGGCTTGGGGAGGGGAGAGTAGCAGCAGGATTTCCTCCTTCTCCTCCTGAGGTGGCAGGCAGATGTAGTAGATGTAGGCAAAAGCCAGGAGACAGGTGTTTTTAAAGTCTCTCCCTCAGTCCCTTTCTCCTCTTAGCCAGCTTTTGGGGGTGGGGGGAGAAGGAGCAGGACTCCCTCCTCCTCCTCCTGAGGTGGCAAGCAGATGTAGTAAGCAACAGCCAGGAGACAGGTGGTTTTAAAGTCTCCTCCTCAGTCCCCTTTCTCCTCATAGCCAGCTTTTTTGGGGGGGGGGAGAAGCAGTAGGATTTCCTCCTTCTCCTCCTGAGGTGGCAGGCAGATGTAGTAACCAACAGCCAGGAGACAGGTGTTTTTAAAGTCTCCTCCCCAGTCCCCTTTCTCCTCTTAGCCAGTTATTAGAAAAGGGTGTCAGAACGCTTCTCCCCTTATGAACCCTCCAGGACTTTAAGATCGTCTGGGGAGGCCCTGCTCTCGGTCCCACCTTTGTCACAAATATGGTTGGCGGGAACGAGAGACAGGGCCTTCTCGGTGGTAGCCCCTCGGCTATGGAATGCCATCCCTTAGGATATCAGATCGGCCCCCTCCCTTTTAACATTTCAAAAGAGAGTCAACACTTGGCTCTTTGAGCAGGCATTTGCAAATACAGTGTAATAGACATAGGAAAATTGAATGGTTGGACGATGTGATTGGACAATGTTTTTAATAGGAGACCTTAATGTTCATGTTTTTATTGGTTTTGTTATCCAATTGTTTTATTGTATTAAAATTGTATTTGATTGTCTTGACACCAACTGTAAACCGCCCCATGTCACCTGTGGGCTGAGAGGGACGGTATTTAAATATAGTAAATCTATATATATTAAAAGCTAGTGGTCATCGTTAGTAGCCTAAAAACAAACAAACTATGGGGCCAACTGACATCAAATTTGGCCTCCAAACTTCTCATACCGCAAGGTATGACCAACAATTAAAAAAACCCCCCAAAACCGTGAAAACATAAACATATACACACATATATATACACATGCAAACCACACATATATACATATACACAAGCACACAGAAATATACACATATATACACATGCATACATACATATACACATACATTCCCTACCTTCATAACCTTTGAAAACCCTTACAGCTTAAAAGCCTGGCTTCTTCCTTCCTACAGGAAATCTTTGTGGGGAGGTGTCCCCTAGCCCAGATTGTTTCATGTCTGGGATTCCTGTTTTCTGAGGCCACAGCAACGTGTGGCCAGGTTACAGCTAGTAAATAAATAAATAATATCGCGAAATACCACTTGAACCTTTGAGGAAGTTATAATGCTTTCTTGGTTTGCTTTTGCAGGTGCCATGGTTCAGAAAAGATTGAGAACACCGGGAAAGAAGAGCTGAAGACACAGCAGGAACTGAGTTATCTGCTAACTAGGGGGAAAAACATTAACCTGTCTCTGAGGTGACTAAAGGGGAATAATGGTGATTTTGCGCCGGGCTCGGCCGCCTGCTTCCGCCCCAACCAGCAATGAATCTTGACTCGCTCTCGCTGGCCTTGTCTCAAATCAGCTACCTGGTGGACAATTTAACCAAGAAAAACTACCGAGCCAGCCAGCAGGAAATACAGCACGTGAGTAGGAAATCGCACACAAAACATTTTCCGTTGACATGATGGTGGGGATGAAAAGGAGCTTTAGCTCCGTTTGGTATCTTTTGCACTCCTAGTTCTGACCGAGTTAGTTTTGAATCAAGAATTAGAAAGTCGGATATTTTCGTTCTACACCTTTCTGGGAGTTGAGGTATCTTTATTTTAAACTACACTGTAAGGCCCTTCCTTCAGTCATGTTATTCACCAGCTTTTTCTGGAGGAGTTCAGAGTCCCAGGACTCTATTATCAACAACATCTTTACAAATCTACTGTGTGTTTTTCAGTTGCTTCTTACACCAGATATAACATTATCATGACTGACTTTTAAAAGGTGTGGGTGTATGTGTGTATATTTATTTATTTGTCGTGTTAGGGCAACCAGTCAATTGTATTACATTTCTAACAGAAACAAAGCAAACAAACAGACAAAATACAAAATGTGTGAGTTTGGTAGTTGATTAAATGTCCTTTGACCAGTATCTGGCCACTTTGAGTGCCTCTGGTGTTGGTCCTCCATTGTGCATGTGGCGGGGCTCAGGTTACATTGCAGCAGGTGGTCAGTGGTTTGCTCTTCTCCGCACTCGCATGTCGTGGATTCAACTTTGTGGCCCCATTTCTTGAGGTTGGCTCTGCATCTTGTGGTGCCAGAGCGCAGTCTGTTCAGCGCCTTCCAAGTTGCCCAGTCTTCTGTGTGCCCAGGGGGGAGTCTCATTTGGTATCAGCCATTGGTTGAGGTTCTGGGTTTGAGATGTGTGTATAGATACACACACACACACACACACATATACACCGTATATTCCGGGGTACTAGACAACTTTTTAGGCATGTGAAACCTTATAAAAATTTAGGGTCATCTAGTACGACGGGTATAGAATTAAAATAATAGTAAAATTACAAACTTCGACGCCGCAGCCCTTGGGGGTCTCTCGCCTACTTCTCCTCACAGGTAGAGCCTCTTGGTGTGGAGGGCCTTGACCACGGGCTCCCCTACTCCTCTGCCTCCTCCTCCTCCTCCGCTGCCTTGGCTCATGGCGGCCTCCCGGCCAGGCTCCCCATCCTTCCTCTCTTCCTGGCTGCCTTCCTTGCTCAGGCCCCTCTCTTGTTGGCGCCCAGGCCCCTGGGCTGCTTCCCACGCTGCTTAGGCTGCTCTCCTTCTTCCTGGCCAGGCCTCGCGAGAAGCGCCTCTTCTCCTGCGAGACAACGTTGTCTCGCTAGAGAATTATTTATTTATTTATTTGATGTGCTTATATGCCGCTGTTCTCAGCCCGGGGGCGACTCACAGCGGTGTACAACATAGAAAGGACAGGGTGCAAATTACAAGATACAATCTAAAATCAATCTAGCAATAACCAAAAAACATCGTCATCAGAAACATCAACAATATCACTAATACAAAAAGCCATTCGCGTCGTCTCATCGTCCAAACCACAATCCAGTATCATATTCCGTTGTTCCATTCCTGTTGTCATTACCAATTATTGCACTTCTTGTTCGAACGCCTTCTTGAACAGCCAAGTCTTTAGTTTCCTGCGGAATATCATCAGGGAAGGAGCCAGTCTGATGTCCACGGGAAGGGTGTTCCACAGCCGAGGAGCCACCACCGAGAAGGCCCTGTCTCTCGTCCCCGCCAGGCGTGCCTGTGAGGCAGGCGGGATCAAGAGCAGGGCCTCCCCGGACAATCTCCTGGTGGGCTCGTAGGCCGAGATGCGGTCAGATAGGTATCTTGGGCCGGAACCGTTTAGGGCTTTATAGGCCAACGCCAGCACCTTGAATTGAGCCCGGTAGCAAATCGGCAGCCAGTGGAGCTGGTACAACAAGGGCGTTGTGTGCTCCCTGCATCCTGCTCCTGTTAGTAACATGGCTGCCGCACGGTGGACCAGTTGAAGCTTCTGGGCCGTCTTCAAGGGCAACCCCATGTAGAGAGCGTTGCAGTAGTCTAGGCGGGATGTAACCAGAGCGTGGACTACCGTGGCCAAGTCAGACTTCCCAAGGTACGGGCGCAGCTGGCGCACGAGCCTAGCTGTGCAAATGCTCCCCTGGTCACCGCCGAGACCTGGGGCTCCAGGCTCAGCGATGAATCCAGGGTCACACCCAAGCTGCGAACCTGCGTCTTCAGGGGGAGTGCGACCCCATCCAACACAGGCTGTAACCCTATGCCCTGTTCGGCCTTGCGACTGACCAGGAGTACCTCTGTCTTGTCTGGATTCAATTTCAATTTGTTCGCCCTCATCCAGACCGTCACAGCGGCCAAGCACCGGTTCAGGACCTGGACAGCCTCCTTAGTAGCAGGTGGGAAGGAGTGACAGAGTTGGACATCATCCGCGTACAGATGACACCGCACCCCGAAACTCCGGACGATCTCTCCCAGTGGCTTCTCCCAGCGGCAAAGTTGTGTCATGGGTGAAGAGGTTCTTTTCGCGTGGCCTGGCCAGGAAGAAGGAGAGCAGCCTAAGCAGAAGGGCCTCCCGCGCTGGTCGGGCCGCTCTCCTTCCTGGCCAGGCCTCGCGAGAAGCGCCTTTTCACCCATGACACAACTTTGCCTCGCGGGAGAAGAGCTGCTTCTTGCAAGGCTTGGCGGGGCTGGGAGGCAGAAACGCTATGGCGGCGGAGTGGGGGCAGGAGGAAGGAGAGCGACCTGACCAGCGCGGGAGGCCCTTCTGGAGGTGGTTCAGGAAGCAGCCCAGAGGCCCAGGAGCAACCACACGCCAGGTGTAGACGACAGAAACCACACCTGGCTGGAGGCAGACTTGTCTTAAATGGCGAGTATATCCCCAACTCTCTTATTTGGTGTGTTAAAGTTGGGAGGTCGTCTTATAGCCCCAGCCGTGTAGTACCCCGGAATATACGGTGTGTGTGTGTGTACATACATACATACATGTTGTTGTTCAGTCGTCTCCGACTCTTCGTGACCTCATGGACCAGTCCACGCCAGAGCTCCCTGTCGGCCGTCACCACCCCCAGCTCCTTCAAGGTCAGTCCAGTCACTTCAAGGATGCCATCCATCCATCTTGCCCTTGGTCGGCCCCTCTTCCTTTTGCCTTCCACTTTCCCCAGCATCATTCCCTTCTCTAGGCTTTCCTGTCTCCTCATGATGTGGCCAAAGGACTTCAACTTTGTCTCTAGTCTCCTTCCCTCCATGAGCAGTCGGGCTTTATTTCCTGGAGGATGGACTGGTTGGATCTTCTCGCAGTCCAAGGCACTCTCAGAACTTTCCTCCAACACCACAGCTCAAAAGCATCGATCTTCCTTCGCTCAGCCTTCCCGAAGGTCCAGCTCTCACATCCGTAGGTTACTACAGGGAAGACCATGGCTTGGACTAGGCAATGGATCTTGGTTGCCAGTCTGATGTCTCTACTCTTTACTCTTTTATCAAGACTGGACATTTCTCTCCTCCCAAGAAGGAAGCGTCTCCTGATTTCCTGGCCACAGTCTGCATCTTCAGTACATACATACATACCTACATACATACATATATATAAGTTCAGGAAGGCAAGTCAGTTTCTGAAATATTCTCCAGTTCTCTGTGTGTTTTCTTGGTCTGTCTTTTGCCTGGTGTCTTAGAACTGTAGAAGTATCAAGATAATATCGATAGTAGGTTAAATCTGACATCAGTCCTGGCTATTCTATATCCATTTTAATCAACTGGGCTTAACGGTGGCTGTGATTTAAAAAAAAAATCCTTTGTTTCATTGGGTCTTTTCTCTGTGGGACCAGCACAGGATTTAGTTGAGGCTGGTTCCTTATCTGTGGAACACATGGCGCTGTAAATGTGGTTGGACTGCAACCGCTGTCCTTCAGCATTGTTTGGGGTTGATGAGAGCTGCAGCTGGAAGGCCAGCCATTGCCCTCCTTGCTGCATCTTGAGTCACACGGCTCTCATCAGGATAACATGTAAGCGTCCATGTACTCCTTGGGTGTAATGTCTCACTCTATAATCACACCCCGTTCCCAAAGGCATTTCCTGTATTGTAATCTCTGCCCTGGAAAAACATGGATAATAAAAACCAGCAGTCAGCCACAGAGAGCCAGTGTTGCTCCCAAGCTGCTTTTCCTATATGGATTCTCTTGAGTGCTGGTGGAAGATATAAACTTTGCAGAAATGGGTTGAAACATGCACCTTCCACTCACGTTCTGCCCAGTTTAATCTCCAGTGCTGAGAGGGCTTCCGTTTCAAAGAGCAGCTTCAGCCTGAATAATTTAAGCTGCTTTTTTTTTGTCATGTCAGAAGTCGCTTCTGGTGTGAGAGAATTGGCCGTCTGCAAGGACGTTGCCCACGGGACACCCAGATGATTTGATGTTTATCATCCTTGTGGGAGGCTTCTCTCATGTCCCTACATGAGGAGCTGGAGCTGATAGGGGGAACTCATCCGCCTCTCCCCGGATTCGAACCTGCGACCTGTCGGTCTTCAGTCCTGCCAGCACAGGGTTTTAACCCACTGCGCTACCGGGTGCTCCTATTTAAGCTGCTGCGCAGTCCAGTAGGAACAAACAGCCAGTTAGATGCAGGCAAAACGTGAGGAGAGAATGCTACTGGAACATGGCCATACAGCCCGAAAAACTCACAGCAACCCACCTTTGGAGAAGTTGTGGTGTGTCACCTGGACAATATGCTGAAGTGAACATTAATAAGCTGTCCGTAATTTTGTGAAAAAGATTGCTTTTGGTGCAGGAAACAATTTGTATACTGTATATACTCAAGTATAAGCCTAGTCCTTTTTTTAGGCTGAAAAAGTCTCCCTCGGCTTATACTTGAGTCAAGGTTTTGTATTATTTTACTCTATTATTATTATTATTATTATTACATTTATTATTTTATTCTTTATTATTATTATTACATTTATTATTTTACTCTATTATTATTGGAAGGATATGTAAACACACTGAAGAAGGTTAGAATAATCAGAGGACAGTCTTACCTTATTTATTCAAAAACATTTAACCTATCGATGCCTCAATTAATGCAATTTTATTGGTATCTATTT